AACATAGAATTCAAATATAAAGAGAAGTGATTGAAATACTCATATATTCCAAGAATCAATAGTTACAAACTCTCAAGAACTTTTAGGGTTAGTATTTTTTACATTATGCAACTTTAGGAGGAACGAGCAACTACTACAAGCTGTGGGCCATAAGAACACATATAATTTTATCCTTTTCCTCATTGTTCCACTTTCATGCAACTAGCAACTACCACAAGTTGTGGGTCATCATGTCCACGAACAACTCGTCCTTAGAAAAGTTCTTCGACTGGTGGCTTAGCAGAATCTCCACCTTCAGTATCTCATTTCAACCACCACGGCCCAACGGTCGACCACTCAGTTCCTTTGTGACTTGGTTGGCTGGGTTATGAAGCACTACAAGGAGTAGCATTGAGCTAAGTCTGCATGGACACACCAAGACGTGCTAGGTATGTTGTCTCCATCTTGGAGAACCTCTCTAGAGGAAGTCATTCCATGGTTTTCCACCTCCTTTGCTCCAAGTTCGGGCTCCAACTTAACTACAATAGTAGTCGTTGCCCCGACCACGTTGCTATCCCAACCTTCTACCGTATGTGCTTGGAGGGGTCTCTAGCTGTTGCAAGTTATGAGCTTACAATGATTATTTTACTTGGGGTAATTTGGATTTTGTTCGGGTGAGGATTGCTCTTCCTCCTTAAACTTTTCCCTTAATTACCAACCCTATGGTAGAGACCCAACTCTCCCCGCTCAGGAATTTTTATATTTCTGATGTACTGATTGCCTTTGATCCACCTTCTCATTTCTTCTGATTGATGTCTCCTTGGTTTTATCCATCGACTGTTACTTTCTGTCGGAAACTCCCAGGTTTCCCTCCATCTTAATGGTTAGTCTCTTCCTGAATTATGATCAATACATATAGACAAAGGGCCCATTGATTGCATTTAAGTGTGATAATGGAGTGTCCTTATTCAAAGAAATTATTCTACAGTATTTATTCTTCACTGATAAGGTTCTGGAGGCCGAGTTGACCAAAGGCAGACTAAGTCTGATTGGTGGGCTTCTCTGTTCATCCTATCCTTCCAGAATCGATGCTCAACACATGATCAATAAAATTTTGGCCTAAAGAGCAGCGGTTACGGTTTTGGGTGAAGGGTTCAGGCTTTTCCAGTTTATCTTCGCAAATGAAACTAACTACGATGAAACCCTAAGCAAGGCTCCATGGTTCGGCCAAACCAAAATCCTCACTCTGAAGAAGTGGGAGACACCCTCCGAAGAGGTATTCCTAGAATTGACTCGAGTACAATATTTTGTTCAACTATGGAATTTGCCAGAAGTGTATTGCATAGTAGCTCTCGATCTGTTGCTAGCCTCAAAGCTAAGATCAATGGAAAACGCTGGAATATGTGCGGGTTGGGAGAGCCCGAGATGTGTGTTCAAAGAAAAAGTATTGTTTGATGCCTCAGCTCCTCTCCAACACTAACTTGCGGCGCAAAAGACTGAAAGAAAAACCCGAACGGATTCAGAACCCCTTTCTTTTGGGTCTCTCTCCAATACAAGAATGTGAAGATGGTATGCTTCCATTGTCGGTGTATTGGTCATAATCAACGTAAATGCTTCGTTGATTTGGTTACAAGGTATGATGGTTTTGGACCATAAATTATAGACCATCCTACAAGACCTAAGATTAGCGACTTTTCATAAGCTTTTGGGCGCCCCCATGGCAAAAATGTTTGGAGACAACGTAGTCATCCCTTCCCTCGAGAAACCAGTGCTCAACTATTCCTGGAGGGACCTTCCCAAGCCCATCACAACAATGACAGCTCAAAGAACCGTTGGTTTCCTCATTGTCTTTGGTTTGCTAGCCAGCAGGAAGTAAGAAGGGAATTTGAGAAAGAAGGCCGAGTCTTTCTCCTAGGACCGTAATTCAATCCCATAAGTCTTTGAAGAGGGGTTGCAAGTTGGGATGAAGGAGATAACTGTTGGCCTTCTTACTGGGCCAAGTCAAGGGCCTTCCTCTATCAAGCAAGAAACTGAAAATCCAACAATAGTGCGCCGACGGGGGAAAAAATTCAAGCTGCCTAATGGGATGAGAAATTTTAACATAAGCCCAATTTTGAAGAAGCCTATTCCTTTGCAGGTGGAAGACCCGTCCCAATCATTTGGGCTAGGTAATTTATTTTGTGATGATGATCCAGATTCTTTATTTGAGGATGTAGGCGAATCTCACCTATTTTTCATACAAGATGAAATGGGCTTCCATAACTTCGAGGCCCAACTCATTTCCTCAGATTCAGTAGTGTCATGTTCTCCTATTAGACCGGTCTCAAATGGGATGTAAAAAAGGGAAAGGTATCATAGTGGAATCCTCTAGATCTCCTACTGTTTATACTCGTATGAACACTAGTATATGCATCCAAGAACCAGCAGATTGAGTGATTAAGTATGAACCAAAGCGACCCCAGCTAGGGGCTCCAAAATCACCGGAGATATGGGTGGAGGTAGCTAACCCCAAGTGGCCTCAGGTTGATAAATGAATATATTCACGTGGAATTGTCCAAGTGTGGGGAGTTCTTTGACATTCCAAACGCTTCAAACCCACTTTTATGTGTCTAATTCTTTTATATTTCTTAGTGAAACCATGTCTTCTTGTGACAAGCTCTCTTCGTTGATTTCTTTGTTAGGATTTTCAAATTGTCATGTTGTGAATCCTACCGGCATGTCGGAGGGTTTAGTCTTTACTTAGCCACGTCTGACATCCTTGTCTATTATTGGCTCTTCCTCTTTTTTGTTGCCATTTCTATCATCAATAATTTCTCCTCTTACTATGGTGAGTATCCCCATTTCGTTCTTATTGGAGTTTATCTCGCATACGTAATCGTCAAAAGACATCAACAATTGGAGGAATTATGGAGATTCTGTTCCTGTTTATTTGATCTGTTCCTTATAATAGGGGATGTTAACTGCTCCGTGTTCCCCTTGGAGAAATCTGGCGGAGCTACTTGGCCTATGGACAAGGCTCGTCCTTTGTGGGACTTTCTGAATCAAACTGGTCTCTTTGAAACCCGGTTTCAGGGTTCAAAATTCACCTCGACGAATTGTGGCCGTAATGGTGTAGTGATCAACAAAAAATTGATAGAACTTTTATCTCCCCATCTTGAATGAGCTATTGGCCCAATTCTTGTCTCTACCACCTAACCAATAGGGGATCTTATCATCAACTATTAGGTTTTACTACCTATGTGGGGCACCTCGTGCTAAATAACTCTTCAGGTTCGATATTCAATGGTTGAACATGTGAAAAGAGGGTCTAAATGTAAATTATATATGGGAATTGCCTTCTGAAGGATCTCTCCAATTTTGTTTATTTTCTCGGCTTTTGCACATACGGCATGGCTTAGTGGACTGGTGTAAGGGTGGTCAATCAAACTCAGCAAGGCTTATTAATGACCTAAGCCAAGTCCTTGAAAGGGTTGGGAACGACCAAATAGTTGACTAGGATATGGTTCAATCCACAAATAAAAGACTATTTATCCAATATAACGAGATGAGCTTTTTTGGAAGCAAAAATCTCGTATTAAGTGGCTTCAAGAAGATGATAGAAATGCATCCTACTTACATATGGTCACCTCCTCCCAATATCAAAGAAACATTATTTGGGGCCTCGAGGATGATAGAGGCAACCAGTGTACCTCTGAAATGGAAAAATGTAACATTGCCAAAAAGTTCTATCAAGATCTTTTCCAAATTTAAGACATGTGAGGGATAAGTCTATCCAATCTGACATTTACTAAAACTCTCACCGAAGAGAAGAATATGGGAATAGCATAACCAACCACCCCAGAAGAAATTAAAAATACTATTTTTAGCTTAGGAAAAACCCAAGCCTCTGGTCGTGATAGATTCATAGACAGTTTCTTTCAATACTACTGGTCCACAATAGGCCATAAAGTCACCTTGGCAGTATTCACTTTCTTTCACTTTGGCCATCTGTTGCCAATTTGTTATTGGACATGGATTTCTCTAGTTCCTAAAGTGTAAGAGGTCCTCACAATGAATAACCTGAGAACTATTAGTCTTTGTCAAGTAGTGTATAAAATCATTGCCAAGATACTAGCTAATAGACATATTTCAGTGCTTCCGCTGATCATTTCTCAATCGCAAAATGGATTCATAAAAAATTGGCAGATAAGAGATATATCATATCATGATCAGTCACGATATTACCCATCACCTCAAGACTCTGCCTTCAGGAAGGAAGTCATGGATGGCTTTAAAACTAGACATGGAAAATGCCTATGATCATATTGAATGACCTTTTTTATTTGAAATGATGAAGGAATTGTGATTTAGTCACAAATTCTTGTCGTGCATTAAGGAACATGTTACCACAGTATCATACTCCATACTAAACAATGGTAAACCTTATGAATAATTCAAACTGTCGAGAGGACTCTGCAAGGGTGGCCCACTCTCGTCTTTGCTCTTTGAAATATGTTAGGAAGGATGCTCAAGAATGATAAATAAAGCGGTTACCTTAGGGCTCTTGGAAGGTGTCCGAATCTGTTAGTCCTGCCACATGGCCTTTCATCAATACTTTGCAAACAGTTCCTTCTTATTTCTAGAAGCTTCTTCGTCATCTTGTACAAGGCTTTGGATAGTATAACAACACTCTTTTTGTTGTAATAGTAACAATAGGATTCATTAAGAGTAAAAGGGTAAATTAACAATAAAAATAATAAATAAAAATTAACCCTACGCATTTTCCCGTTTGCTCTGAACCACAGGCGTCGTCTCCTTCACACTTCCGCTGAGTCTTGTCTCTTCTTCCCCCCTGTCGTCTTTCCCTGAAAAATCAAAACCCTCACCGGCTTTCCAACTCCGTCGTCTCTCCATCATCACTCGAATCGCGAATCAACCATCGCAGGCGTCGAACAATAGGAGTGGTTCGTCTCCTTCACCAATTTTGCTGACGGATTTCGACAAATCATCACTGTGTCGCAATCAGCAGAGTAACAGCATCCATGGATTTTTTGAGGTTGGCAGAGGAGGAATCGACGATGGAGTTGGAGCGGTCGGGGGAGGAGAAGAAGAAGCGCTGGGAGGCGTATACAGTGGCCAAGTCGGGCTCGACGGAGGATGAGGTTGAGGAAGCGGAGGAGACCGGCGGTAGCGGCATTGGGGGTTGGGGGTTAAGCAATCCGATCTGGCAAATTTTCCGGTGATGGCGCTAGCCACCCTCTTCTCCGCCTTCCCTTGAGAAGGTGACTCCCTTCCGGAGATACCATCAGAAATGCCAGATCTATGATTTGTAAGACATGGAGGCTTTGAAATCGAGTCTTTTCCCGGCCTCTTCCTCTTCTTCCACCTCCGCCTTCGTGCCAATCGCCATTATTATCTGTGCCAGCACCGTCGACCTATGCCGCCTCAACCACAACGACGACGATCTCATTTTTTATCCTTGGATCTGCGCATTCAAACGACCTGGAGGTGAGAAACGAGGAGGGTTGGTTAAACGATGATCTAATCCTCTAACGTCAGCAGAGAAGTTGAAATCGAAGTAGATTGTCCAGCTACAATCGAGCTCCGGTGGTAAGCATAGTGGGGCAAAACCAAAGAGTCGATGATGGCGGAAGTAGAAACCGCATTTTTAAAGGGCCGGAATTTCTCAACATTCATCTTCAAGTAATGGAATTATTCGCCATTTTTACTTGCTAAAATAATATGCAATGCTGAGTCGGATTAGTCTTCAATGGTCTTTGATTGTATTGGAATTATAGATTGAATGCTGTCTTTTTTGCCTCTTACCTTCAAGTGCTTGTAAGTCTATGTTGACTAGTGATTCTTCTAGCTTCGATGTGTTGATTCTGCTCTTTCCATTTACTAATTTGACATTGTTACTCGTTTCCAAATTCTTGTTGTTGGTTGAACCCAAATTGTTGTTGTCGAGCTCGACAAGTCCCCCTGTTTATATGTATTAGTTCTTGCTTTAGGCCGGGGATGATGATGATTTTGTATATCAATGCATATTGTTGGTGATAAGCATAGTGGGATGATAATACATGGCAGACCACAAATCTCGCTAAGCAAACATGAAACACCACAAATATGTTTCTAAAGCACACCATAAATCTTTTAATGCATACCATAAATTTACAGAAGCAGACCACAAACCTCACAAAGCAAACCACAACATTTGCTAAAGCACAACAGAAACCTCCTAATGCAAACCACAAACACAGTAAATCAAAACACAAAAAAGCAAACCATAAACGTCCTAATGAAGACCACAAATATATCAAAACAAACCAGAAACCTCACAAAGCAAACCCCAACATTTTCGAAAGCACACCAGAAACCTCATAATGCAAACCACAAACACAGTAAATCAAACCACCAAAAAGCAAACCGGAAACGTCCTAATGCAGACCACAAATATATTAAAATAAACCAGAAACCTCACAATGCAAACCACAAAATTTTTGAAAACAAACCAGAAACTTCTAAATGAAAACTACAAAAGTATCAAAAGCATGTCAGAAACCTTCTAATGCAAACCACGAATATATTAAAACAAACCAGAAACCTTGCAAAGCAAACCACAAAAGTTTCAAAAGCACACTAGAAACCTTGCAAAGCAAACCAAAAAAATTTCAAAAGCACACCAGAAACCTTCTAATGCAAACCACAAATATATTCAAACAAACCAGAAATCTCACAATGCAAACCACAAATTTTTTGAAAGCAAACCAGAAACTTCTTAATGCAAACCACAAACACGATAAAGCAAACCACAAAAGACATAAAAAAAATATGAGAAACCAAACCATAAATCTCACAATGCAGATCATAACATTTGGTGGTCGTTGACCGTTGTCCGGTCAACGAAAATCGTTGACCAAACTTCGATGACCGTCAATGAGCAGATTCCGGCGCCAATAGGCATATTCCGGCCCCGATGATTAGATTCCGACGCCAGTAAGCATATTCCGACGCCGATAAGCATATTCCGGCAACAAAAAGCATATTCCGGCGACAAAAAACATATTCCAGTGACCGACGACCAAAATTTTGGGCCGAAAAATAATTTTTATTTTATTTTATTATTATTTAACACATATTTTTCATAATCACAATTTTACCCTTGTCTTGATTTTACACTAGGTCAACTAAGCTAATAAAAAGTCATCACAACCCTAACTTCCTATTGGTTGGAGGCTAGTGCTGTTACAATAACAACACAAGGGGTGTTGTCACACTATCTAGTCCCCTTGTACAACCATCTTATCACTGCTTCAAGTTTATGAAGGACTTAGTGGTCAACATGTTAATTTTTCCAAATTTACAGTTTTGTTTAGCCGAAATACATCAAGTCAAGAAGCCTATTCTATGGGAATCCATTTTGGCGCAGGGTCCATTGGTGAACATGACTCTTACCTTGGTTTACCCTCCTTAATTTCTCAACCCAAAAAGGATACCTTCCATTTTGTTGAAGAAAACCTATGCAAAAAACTGCAAGGTTGAAAATGACATACCCTTTCTAAGGCTGTTAAAGATACTATTATCAGATCTTTGGTTACTAACTTACTAGTTCACAGTATGTCTTACTTCAAATTCCCGGTAGAAACCTGTCAATGCTTGAATGGACGTGTAGCTCGATTCTGGTGGGGCTCTTTTTACAATTAGAACATCCAATACATTGGGTTTCATGAAAAGGACAGGCTCAAAGTAAATTTCATGGGGGACTTGGATTTAGGAATTTTAGAGCCTTTAGTCTAGCTCTTTTAGCTAATCTTTGTAGGGTTATATGGAAAAATGTTGATTCCCTTCTTAGTCTTATATAAAAAGTTAGGTACTTCAATCAAAGTACATATTTGGAAGCTTTTATAGGATCTAACCCTTATTGGGTTGGAGAAGCATTATGTTTAGATGAGAACTTCTCCTTCAAGGAATGAAATGGCAGGTAGGAGATGGAAAAGATATAGATGCGTTCTCAGGTAACAGCATCTGAACAGAAAAACCCACATCTCCTATACTAAGACTTCAAGGATTCGATAACTCTTTGAGGGTATCTTTTTTATTAAAGAAGGATAGGGAAAATGGTATGTTCCCATATTATAATATATTTTTAAGGAGAACTCAGTGGATTTTATACGTAAAACGATCATCCCCGTTTATTTCAAAAAGATGCACGCATTTGGCATTTTACAAAAAAATGGGAAATATTCAACTAGAAAGAGTTACCATCTTGCTTTGGAAATTATCTTGATCCCAAGTCGTAAATCCTTGGCTCATATAATTGACTCTCCTATTTGGAAAAGACTTGAGCAAATGATATTCCGTCTAAGTTGACGTTTGTTCTTTGGCAATGCTTGGAAGTAGTATTACCAACTATGCTACCCCTTACATCTCATGGGCTAATTATCTTCCTCGTTGTCCGGTCGGTTGGGATAGTCAAGAGAATATCAGACATTTATTCTTTTATTGCTCACTTTTCATAAGTCTTTGGACTATGGTGGGACTAAGAGATTTGCTTTCCTCCGCTCCAACCTCGAACTTAGGTATATAGTGGCGTCATGTTATGATTTCAGTAAAATTTGAAACCTACATTCTCCCCTGCATCTGTCTTCTTTGGAGAATCAAGAAATTTTTGTAACAAAGTGGTTTTTGAACATACTCAACCACGCCAGTTTTCTTGCCAGTCAATTCCATTTCCAAGTTCGTGAAATTCTTCAGTATCCCTTCATTTCCAGGACCCATGTCCCCAATCAGTGTTCTCTCTTCCTGCTATTTGGGTTTCCTTGCCCGAAGACTTCCTCAAGTAGGGGTGTTCAAACGGTTTGGTTACCATGGTAACCGTTTTAACCAGTACTATTTGGATAATTTGGTTTGGTTAATTTGGATAATTGGTTTGGTTTGGTTAAAGTTTTTAGCTTGTTTGGTTTGGTTTGGTTTCAGACACTCCTAACCAGTCAAACCAAATTAACCAATTAAGTAATTAGTCATATATCTAACATATATTATATACACATACTTAATACTTTGCATAACCACTCAAGAGTTAACGTTCATCCATTTTAGACTCATAAAATATAAAGCTCAATATTGCTCATATAGTGTATATTTGTATATGTAAAATGTAGACCACAACATATGGACGCATAATTTAGATAAATTTCATACATTATGATGGATGAAAACTTGAAAGGAAGGTCATTTCCAGCCTATGATAATTGCTAAGAGACTAAGTCAATTTACACAAATACAACAATTCATTAACCCATACCATTGTCGTAAATTTTTGTTAGGTGAATACTTCTATACTAATCGTAAGATAATTGTCTTAGTTGCATGTATTTTTGTTAAGGGTCAACTATAACTACGTGTTGGTTGTTATGTTTTATTCATTATATAAATTCCGAATTGTTGCATTAACCGGAAAATTTTCATCGTCAATGATAATGTGATTTTATATTGGTTAATCTGGTTAACCAATTAACCAAACTGATTAAACTTTAGTTTGGTTAATTTGGTTGTTGTATTAGTTTGGACGGTTTGGTTATTATATTGTATTCTATGGTTAATGGATTTTAGCCTTATTTGATTTGGTTATAACCATGGTAACCATTTGAACACCCCTATCCTCAAGATCATCTTTGACACTATTGTTCGTGGTTCACGTTGCTCGTCTGGTCTAGTGGTTTGAGATAAAACCGGGTTAGCTACCATGGCCTTGGGGCTTCATCATCAAAGAGTTATGACCCCCTATCTCACAGAGTTGCTAGCTGCCAGAGACGCAATTTCACTTGCGATTTCTCAGATTCTACCTTGTGTCATTATTGAAGGAGATTCTGAAGTGGTCATCCTTCAGCTAGATAATATATGTGTTAAAGTTTGTGGGTTCCTTCTTCAATATTGTATTTAGTTATTAATTTCGTGCTCTTGTTGTATAGTTTTTAGGGCGCGCGGTTACGCAAATTGTAAACTGGGCTGCCATAGAGTGGCAGAGAAAGCCATGTTGTTGTCCTTTGTAGAGTTAGATTCATTCGACTTTGTAGGGTGGCTTCACTAAGTGTTTTCTGCGAGGGTTTTAGGTAGAGGTTTCTAACTATTTTCTCCTGTCATTACATGGAAAAAAATTTAGTAGGTATTAATTCACGACTTCTAACATTGATTTATTTTTTGGATAGATTTCGAGACAGATTATGCAAAGGCTTTCACCCTT